TGCCTGCTGTTCCTGCACTTCACTCTCACTGAGCTTCTTTCTCTTCTCGTGCCTAGAAGGATAGTCCCTCTTCATCCTCTCATTTGACACGACAGTGAGGCGGGGCCGTCCACCTCTGCGCAAGACTGACTTTATTACTATCCCTGTGTAAGCCGGTGTCGCATCTGCTGGGTTAATTCGCGCAGAGTCAGCTTTATTAGTTCACATTTGTTTTTCAGTGCTGCAACCGGGGTGAGATCAGTGCTATCCACTGGCCCACCGTGCCGCCCAACAATGCACCAATATATGCACATATTGTTTATTGTGTCACTGTTGTTTAGTTTCAGCACATGTATTACCTGTGTGCCAGGTACTGTCTATAACCTACTGGGTTCAGTAGCTGACAGATGTTGTGCAAAGTTAACGTTAGTTACCACTGAAAGGAAGTATTTCCTGCCTGCGGGAGTGTAAGCATTCAGTGGTGACAGCGGAGCTTCGAGTTCACCAAAGTAGATGAAAAATATAACGTGGATTGTTTAATCTATCCTTTCAGTATTGTTGTTTTATCAACAAGGTTTTGCAAAGCAAGCTAACATATGGCTTCTGCCTTCTGTAGGCTAACATTATGTGTTATTGAATCAAGAATGTATAAACAAGAAACCACATTTTTTCTCTCAGTAAAGCAAACATTTAGGTAGGTAGGTAGGTTTTATTTTCACAATATAACAAGTTGTAGAGTGAAATTGAGTTTTATAACTCCCTTCTGCTACATAGCAGACAGGAAACAATTAATTATAAAAATGGCAACAGAAATAAACTATCATCACTGGAGCAGTGCTGAGGATGAACTAGAGTTTAAGAGTCTGATAGTTTGGGGGGGAAAGCTGCTCTGCAATCTGGTGGTGCAGCAGCAGAAACTTCTATATCTCTTCCCAGAAGGCAGCAGGGTGAACAGGCTGTGGCTAGGTGGGAACTGTCCTTTAGTATCCTTTGGGCTCTGCAGGCACCTCACCTCACTGATATCACTGATGCTCGGGAGATGGGTACCAATGATCTTCTGTTGATCTTCTGAGTGTTTTAATCACCCGCTGCAGAACTCTCCGGTCCTGGGCTGTGCACATCCCATGTTAGTGACGTTTCCAGTCTGGATGCATTCTGTTGCTCCCCTGTAAAAGCTGACAAGGACTTGGCGTGGGAATTTGGTCTTCTTAAGCTTCCTCAAGAAATCCAGTCGTATCTTAGCTTTCTTCACCAGAGTGGAGATGTGAGACGACCATGTCAGGTTCTCTGTGATGCCGATTCCCAGGATCTTGAAACTATTCACCTGCTCCACCTCAGCTCTACTGATGCCGACAGGAGTGTGTGTCTTTATCTCCTTCTTCCTAAAATCAATGAGCAGCTCCTTGGTTTTGCTGACGTTGAGCGGTAGGTTGTTCTCTGAGCACCACTCTACAAGATTATGAATTTCCTCCCCATATGAAGTCTCATCCATGTCGGGGGATGCAGTCGTGGGTGTACAGCGTGAACAGGAGGGGGTTGAGCACACAGCCCTGGGGGGCTCCCGTGTTGAGCACTAGAGTTGTGGAGGTGAGTCCGCCAATCCGAACTGACTGGGGCCCGTTCGTGAGAAGTCCACTATCCAGTTGCAGAGTGTTGTATTTAAACCCAGAGTGCTGAGTTTGCTGATCATTTTCTTAGGGGACATTGTGTTGAACGCTGAGCTGAAATCCACAATCAGGATTCTGAAGTAGGTGGTGTTTTTCTCAAGGTGTGTATATATTAATACATATAAATAGATCTGTTTTAAAGTTGAGAGTCTAACAATGTTGTAGGCAGTCAGCAATCAATGTATAAATGGATTTCTCTGAAAATACTTACTTCTTTGGAGAAGCTATAACTGGCCATATAGACTAGTAAAAACCTGGTTGGGGATAAGGTTAGGTGAGGTGTTTCTGTGTTTATTGCGAGATCTCTCTATGAAAGTGATTTGTGTTTTGGATTCTATTCGCTCATGAGTTCAAGCGAGCACGTGTACGAGCGCACGCCTGGTTGCAATCTTAAAACCGCAACATGAGTGGCCGCTGGAAATTCCATAATGCCCCTTTAATGTTAACATTAATTCCACACCCAAACTTACAGCTCCATTAAATAAAATAGAAAGTTCAATTAACTTAACGTTATGTTACTGCAATTTTTGTTTCAAGATTCACCACTTATCAGATATTAATTATGAAGCAGCTGCCGGGTCAGCAGACAGACACAGCAATCCCTCAACAGCCTCTTGTAACGTTAAATTTGGTCTTATACAAGTGAACTGCACTCACCACATTCAGAGCTACAACTGAAGAGTCTGTGTAAAATGTCACATAAAATATCAGCGCTAACGTATTGCATCCAGTCCAGTCCTGAACAGTCTAATGTCAAAGCTGCAAGGAAAATTGAGATCTGGTGTCAAACTAAACATTCTCAAATCGATGACAGTCCTTCATTTCAAAATGGAGGTTTGTGGTGGTTTTCGCGGTCTGTTAATATTACTGTATTTAGATTTAGAGTAATATTTTCCCAGAATGCATTGAAAATCTACAGTAACATACTGTCCACCGCTTATACAGTTGGAAACAGTTAAAAATACAGTAATAATACTTAAAAGTATAAAAATAAATTCAGTGTATAGTCTGACGATGTTATAACTGACCATGGAGTCGATCACTTGGTCATCCATGTTACTGTTTGCAGGCCTGCATTAACCTGCAGTTAGGCCTGAGCCTCAGAGGTTTTGTAGGCCCACAATAAAAACAATAAAAATGTCTAATGACCACGTTTATCTATACTTTGCGCGACAGTAAGCATGATCGGTATGCGTACAGTAAAGGCAATGAGTCACATTATGACCTTATGAATCTTTTCTAAGGAAGATGCTCCTACCAATAGCTACGGAGTCAACACTGTAAAATCAAGATCACAGTAATAATTAGTTGATCAGCAAACACATGAATGCAGCATTGTAGACAATATTTTGTCCTTGTAATCCACGTTTCCATTGCAAATGATAGCCTTTAGATATTATTGGAAACTATTCAGAATCCCCCTCCTTAAAGGGGAAGGGGATTAGTATCATAATCATTTAATATTGCATTGCAAATAAATTTTCATACACACAAAGCGATTACAGTACTGGTCCTACCAGGCTGGACATGCATTCTGCCATAAAACGTATCCGCCCTCTATAATGCACAGATGTTAATCTGATTCCATTTATTTTGATTTTACAGTGTCACATTTTAGGGTCTAGTTCTAGCTTCCAAACAGTAACATGGATGAGCAAGTGATTAAATCCGTGGTCAGTTTTATCATTGTCAGACTATTGCAAAAAAATTTTGCTATAAGATAAATATAAAGTTCAACATAATGTAAATGTAAATCTGGAAGCCATGCATTAGCTTGCTTTGCAAAACCTTTTTGATAAAACAACAATACTAAAAGGATAAATAAACAATCTACATGTTATATTTATCAGTTACTTTGTTGAACTCGAAGTTCCTTCACAGCTGAATGCATGCGCTCCAACTGTCGGGGGAACGCCTTCTATCTGTGGTACCTACCTTGGCACGACACCGGCCGATCAGCAGCCTCTCTGTGCTGATACTGGAAATGTGCATGTGTATTGTTGTGGGTTACAGTCAAATGTGTCGTTTGACTTTCCAACAGCCATATACAGTATGTAATTTTGGGACACTTGACAATAAACCTATTTTGTCATTTAGGTATGAGGATGTGTTGCAGCAATGAACCATAATATACAGCTACTGCATTGATGATGCAGGTGTCATGCTTAAACTCATATTTTTATTTAAAAAGAAACAATATTTTAATTCAATTGATATTCTATAACATATATCTTACTCAAAACACAAATTACTTACATTTTGATAACAAATAAGTACTTACTAGGAGTAGAAATATGCAAAAAAATATTATCCTCTGAGGGTATCAAAATCACCAGGATTTTTTGCAACTTACAACTCAGCAGGGACATGTCACAAATGTGTTTCAACTCAATACACATCTGACTGGCTTACAATAAAAAGTGAAATTTATATAACAAGCTGCTGCATTGGAAGAAACATCTTACAGCAAAAAAGTGATGATGTCTTTATAACAGACATTTCTCACTAATGGGCAATACACAAAGAGGAAATCAATTTGGAATTTAAAAATTGAGCATTTTATATTTAAAGTAGATCTCATGCAGATGTCTATGAAGATTCTCAGTCATCCAGGTCATAGTTATCCAACGAAGGTTAAAATGAAGGGCAACTAGACTTGGTTGAAGCTTCAACCAAGTCCAGTTGCCCTTCATTTTAACCTTCGTTGTATAGATCTCATGCAGTCTGAAAATCCTTCTACAGTTTAATGTTACTATTAAACAGTAGTTTAATGTTATAAGTGAGTTAAACACATTATAACCTTGTTAAATATTTAAAAACTAAGGGATAGTAAAATAAAACAAAATGAAATTTCATAATATGTATTTTATTTTACCTAAAAAACCATGAGACATGTCTTTCTCTAGTTAAAGTTGCTCCTGTGCAATAAATCGGTTATGTCAATAGAGGGCGATAGAGAGCAAAAAGTGTGTGTATTCAGAGTACGTACACACACCGAAAATCCACACACATTTTCGATTTTGGCATCTTTTTGAGGACCTCTCTGAAACTTTGAGAGAAGCATATAAACAGACTCTAGAGGCCATTACAGTGAAAATAAAGTGAGGACCGGCCTAAATGTCCTCACTTTGCAAAATGGTCCTCACTCCAAAGGTTAAAAACCCTTGCTTGTCCTCACAAAGATAGCTGTACAAACACACACACACACACACACACAAAAGCCCTGCATTAAACAACAGGGGTGTTCTGGGATTTAGAGTATTTCACATTTGGGTCAAAGGTAAACCCCATGATAAGTTGTGTACAACATTGCAATAGTAATATCATGCTTTCCTCCCTTTCTTTTCTGTTTAGACTGGTGGCAGAACAGCAACAGCATCCAGATGGGAGCTTTCACTGTAGTGGGGTATCTTCTCTACAGATTCTCACAGAGTCAGTCGCTCGCCAACACACAATTTCACATTCATTTGGAAAAAGTTTGCCTGACATATATGCCATATTGTTTCTCTGATTGATTGACTTAAACTAGAAAGCACAGAAAATGCAGATTAAATTTATCATATCATTATCATTTATCAGATTTATCATAAGAGGCTTTGATGAGAATAGACATCCCTGATGATATTATCAGGGGTTTAGCCAGGAATAACAGGTCGTATTACAAACCTTAACCCTAACCTCCCTCCATTTGTAGTGACAAATAAAGTCCAAAACCAACAATGAATTAATCCTGCTAACATGTACTGCCACATGCCAGATTCTTTTGTGGCACAGTGCCAAACTGTGAAACATGAGAGAGCCACACCATGATAATGAATGTGAAGTTTATACAGAGTTAATCCCACATACCACATTCTGCTGCACCAAATGTATATTTATCTGCTGCTGAAAATAGTTCTCAACAAATGCACAATGAACTCCCCTTTTAGTAACATTTGTTAAAAATGGCAATTCTCAGCTGTTTTAACAAATAACTAAGCCTTTTTTAATCAGCAGTCTTGTTATGCCAAATGCAGCCCTCCAGGTTTTTTTTGTTGGAGGAACAAGTTAGATAATTTAGCAGAGAAAGGTTCCCTGTAATGTGTATTCCCATTGTACCATCGGTATGTGCACACTGTTACGATTAAATTCTTTATATACATATTAAAATGTAAACTAGTTTTGTGTGGTTGTTTTATAGTCTGATTGTGTTTGAATGAATTATTTCAATATGGGCAGTTTACAGGATCTGAACGTTAATGTCTCTAATCACCAGATTCACCTTCAAACTAATTTAATTAGAGGAGCTGTTTCCATCAGCCACTCACATTCACATTTACAGCATTCAACTGATTCAATTTAGGATATAACCATACTACATTTATGTTTTACAAAATAACAAAGTTTTATTATTATCTTTTTTGACTCCTCCTGTTGTCTTCAGAACTGAAGAAGTCCTTTGGATGAGGGACGAAACGTCTTCCAGTATCTTTAACCAAGTCCAGTTGCCCTTGATTTTAACCTTCGTTGGATAATAATTATAGGTGTCTAATTAACAACTGACTTACAATCTGCTCTGCCATTAGGATTTTCCTCCAAGTTCAAGTGGCTAGTTGCTGTCATCAAAGCAATCACAGGTTAAGTTAAACTTCCTTCAATTTTATTTTTAAATTATTTATATTACATTTTATGGGGTTTCTGCTTTTTCTTGTTTTTCCTGTCAAATGGAAGATGTTTAAAACAGAAAATGCACTCACTCAACCTCAGTTAGGTGTGGGCTGAGAACCACAGCTTATTTGTAAAGCACTTTATTATTTGTCTAATAAAAACGTGTCACCTCTGCAGGGTCAGAGATCGATCCGACCGACAGCCACAACAAACCAGGCCTGAGGTTGATCCTCCTGGGCCCCACTGGTGGAGGACGGACCTCTCTGGCAGATACTTTGTTGGGCGATAGTGAGACAAAGGCGCCCATGGGTCCCCTAATGGAGAGCACCAGGAGAAGGGCTGTAATAGAGGGTAGAGAGGTTAGAGTGATCGACACCCCAGATCTTTTGGGGCCGTCATTGGAGAACAACAAGAGAGCCAGGGAAGCTATGAGGAGCCTTCAGCTGGCCAGCCCTGGACCACACGCCTTCCTGCTGGTGATCCAAGCTCCGGGCTCCAGCATGGGTATCAACCAGGATGCGGCTCAGGCGATCAGAGTCACCCTTGGACTGTTTGGAGACGAGGCGGTGGGGTACATCATCCCAGTGCTCACTCATGCAGACCGTCTGGGGCGAATGCATACTGTAGATGAGCTGCTGGATGTGGACAATGGGGGTCTGAGAAAAGCTCTGTCTCTATGCGAGCAGAGGCCAGAGCTTGTGGACAACAGGCCAGACTGCCCCCTGGAGGCTCAGAGTGTGATGCTCAGGCAGCTGGTAGGGCGTGTGGTGGAGATGAAGACACTAAGGGGGCATTTTGTCCACGAGCTGCAGAGGAGGGAGGACTGCATGAGGGAGGAGCTGCTAGCTGACATGGCTTCTGCGCTGGCTAGAAAACTGGGACGCATGTAAATAAAAGAGGGAGATGGCGAGATGGTGTTGTTGGTGGGTGTGGGACAGAGTTGTTGGGGTAGTGAAAAAATAAGGAGACAACATTCATTTAAGTGTTGAAAATGCAATTTCGAGTTTTGGGTGCCAGCATGATTCTGAGGTATTTTTGTCACTCTGCTGGTTTACCACTGTCCAAATGAATTTACTACCACTGGCCGCCTTGTGGTTTTCAACATGCCACAGATACTTTTGGTTAGATATCGTGCTCACACATTCTTAACTTTCCCATTCTGTTGTAGTTCTTCGATGGCTGTTTATTCCTTTGTATGGCCTTCTGCTTCATGTTTTCTTACTCTGCTCCAGTGCTTAGCCCTCCCCTATCTTTCATAATTTATAAGAGACATCAAACTTTAAAGATTATCAGGGGAAATAAACTGAAGTCATACAGGGACCAGAGTTCAGCAGTGCTGCTCAATGTACTCTTTGTTGCCTCCAGAAGCCTCTGAAACAGCATTTAAACCAAAATAAAATATATAAATATGAAAAAGCTTTTAAGTTTTAATTGAATTGCCAAATTCTGTTACACTTGAATTAACTACACTACACATTAACTTCACTACACATGTTCTTTATATTGGGTTGAACTGAATGGTCACTCATAGTATTAAACCCACTAAGAATGAATACCAAATTCTGCAGCTATATATTTTTGTAGCTTAATAAAGTGAATAATATTTGTCACATGGCCCAAAATGATACAAGAAAGAGATAGAGTGTCTTTGTGTCTGCTGGATGTGTATTTTTTGCTAACATTTGGCTATAACAACTTGTTTGGCTCAGGGCTGTGTTGGTCTTGCCCCTAGTGGTCAAAGATAGCTAAATGGAGCTTTGAAGTCAAGATGATTTGGTAATTGGTGGTAATTGCAAGAGTGTTTTGCATTTGCATTTTGAGTTAACAGTTTATCCAGACAAGCTGTGACCTGAGGTGATTCATTGTGTTACATTGTTTCAAGAAAGGGGACTACAGAAGACCATCAACAATGCCATCATTACGTTAAGTATATCCTGGAAGGAGTCCAGTACATGAATCCATTGTTTCCTGTGAATCCCTTGTGAGTAGTACACTATTTCAATCCTGGACAAGAAATGCAGACTCCACCAGTCACAATGAAAACTACTATATGAAGACACAGTTAAAGAATGCAAATACATTCATTATAGCATGTTGCTCATTTACATCGAGCAGACATAGTAAATTGCATTCATTTGGAGACCTGTCACTGGCCACCTGATGAATTAAGTCCTATATTCCCTCTCCTTTAAGTACTGTTCCTGAAACTGAAAGTATCTGTTCTGTTAAACATTCACCAGCTAAGAGAGGGGGGTAGTTATTTGTGGGTTCCTCACTTCAAAACACAGGTTATAACTTTAAATATTCAGCACTCAAAAAAAGCGAAGTTAATTTGATCATGTTAAAACAATTACACCAGGCCTAAAATGCAGGTATTTTTAATTACTTGGTGTTCATTACAAAGCAGTACTGTTATTTATTTATGCATTTAAACATACGCACTCAGAGTAAAGTGGGAAATATAATATATGGTTTGGCACTCTCGGGGGAGGGACTGCTCCAATGTCTACTGACGCAGGCGGTCACAGCAATATGGAGCCAGGGTGACGCTACTGCGCATGTCCGCGTCTGCACGGACGGAGAGAGACAGAGAGAGCGACAGAGAGGAGGTAAACCAGGGAAAAATTTGGCAAAGACAAAGGACTGAACGGACTTTAGGAAAATAGGAGAGAGTCGGTTGAGTTTTTTAGACCGGTTTATGACAGTCCAGCCGTGACACCACCGACAGGAAGCGGCCAGGTACGTGGTCGGTGAGAGAAAATGAAGTTATAAGACGTAATGTTAAAGGAAGTGCTGTGGTTGTGTTTGATGTAGTCACGTAGAGCAGCCAGGGGATTAACGCCAGATATCTGCTACTATCACGGATTAATTGCATCTGTACATGTATGGTTTCAAAGTATAACAGCTGTTAACCCTCCTTAATGGACTGTGTGCTCTCTAACGTGTGTGTCTTGTTTTGTACGGGGCTGTTGTCATATTTTGCTAGCTTACTGAACAGCCTGCTTCCTCTATGCTGTCCAAGCTGCTGGAAATGTTTACCTTCTTCTCATTTTTGGGGTCCGCTGACCAAGTGGTGATTGTGGCAGTTCATACTTTTGTCTCAGCTGGATATCACCATCAGCATGGCTTTAAAGTGTTGTGTAAGGTTGTTTGGCTGCTGTTCAGATTAAGTAAGCAGTTTTAAGATGTCATTTTGGCTTCTGCTGACGTGTTTGTGACCATATTTGTTATTTTAAATTAGCTTTTATTTGTGTCTGTCTTTCAGGAGTTTTCCCATCGCTGCTCAGCATCAAATCTCTGTTCCAGTGGAAGTGACGCTTCATGGTCAGCGGCCTGGCGCAATGGAAAGAACTGCAAAGCTATAGGCTTGATGACTGGATGGAAAGATCTGTCAACACACTCACAGAAGATGGAGGAAGTGGAAACACACAGAGAGCAGCGGCAGTTTGATTGACGACACCACTGTGGTGTTGGAGGAATAACCAAAAACATCTGGGAGCATCTGGAGTATCTTTGTTTGCGATCCCATCTTGAGTTTTCACCTCCTCCCTCCGTCTGACCTTACTTCAGGTCTTCCCTTTCGAGAGTCACCATACACAAAGACACACGAGCGCCTCTCTTCCAAGCGGCTGAGAGGTTGCTATAACAATGGCTGTGATGATGCTGATGTAGCGTCCTCAAGGTAGTAGTTGTGGAGGTAGTGGTGGAGCTGGAGGAGGCGGTGCTGGCGGCGGCAGCGGTGGTGGTGGTGGTGAATGCACAGGGATGGGAAGCGCTCCGTATCCAGCCGCTGAGTGGAAGGGGAAGGGGCGAGGCGGCCTGCAAGAGCTGGGCTGCATGCGCTGGAAGGTCAGCAAGCAGAAAGGAGGAGGGGAGGCGGTGGTGGTGGGAGCGGAGGAGAGGAGGTGCAGGGATCCCACAGACTCTCAGCAGCAGCAACAGCAGGATCTCTCATCCTCCTCTTCCTCCCTCACCCCCCCACAGCCTCCTCAACCCCCTCTGACACCCCCAGCTATTTATCATGAGAAGCAGCGGAGGGAGCTGTGCGCCCTGCACGCGCTCAATAACGTCTTCCAGGACGGGACTGCCTTCAGTAGGGACACCTTGCAGGAGATATACCAGAGGTGGGGAAACTGGTATATCAATCTATATCGATATTTAGCCAGTGTACCTGAAATGTTAATGTCTCTTATCAACTTGTTGCAGGCTTTCTCCCAGCACTCTGGTGACACCTCACAAGAAGAGCATGCTGGGAAATGGGAACTATGATGTAAATGTCATTATGGCAGCCTTGCAGACCCGAGGGTTTGAGGCAGTTTGGTGGGATAAAAGAAGGTATGTAGGGCTTCTGCTGAAAACGTCCATTTCTGTTGTCCTTATTTTTGCACTAGAAAATGTAAGTTTTTATTCATTTTTAGATTTCTTTTCACCTCTGTTCTCCCCTGTTCACATCAATTGCCTACCCGTCTTGTTTCTTTGTTACTTTCTTATCTTCCATGAATACACATGGCAGCAGGAAATTTTGATTAGCTGTGACATCTGCAGCATAGGGGCATCCACTTTTATCCTACAGTGCAAACATAAGGTAAATGTTGTCAAGAGGCTCCCTGTGTCTTCATCTGCACCCCAGCCACCTAATCAGCAGGGACTTGAATGTTTTCTTTGATTAGACAGCAGTTCCATCAGTTGACAAAGTCTACGAGACAGTTTTATCTGCATTCCTGCTTGCCTCAATAACAGTCTTACATGACTGTTGACAACAACAACAGCCACAGACTTGCTTTTATCAGTAGAGCATTAATGTTATCAGAACAGCCATATTCCTGTTTCTCTGTCTTGGCGAAAACAGGAACAAAATCATAGCTACTTGTAATCTAAAAACAGCACTGCTCCTCTCTGCTGCTGATTGATACACAGTTGGGATTCAACCTATAGCATGTGATTAAGCTATTACATTTTTCTCATTGTAAATATTCCATAGTAATATGTTCTTCTATGCAATGTACTGTACATTTCGTGTAATAATTTAAAGAGGAAAAATGATTTGTTTGTAATGTAGCAATGACGTGGGACTGTTTTTATAACTTTTCCTGTTGGTGCATTCAAGTGCTTGTGGGGAAACTCTGACATCCAAACAGCATCCATTGTTAATGCATCAACTACTTGCAGTGATTGATCAACTCCTACCACTTAAGATTGTTTTAATTTCCAGCTACATCAATGTCATGAGGTTTTGTGGATGATATTTTAATATGTTGTTTAGATTTCTGTGATTACCTTATGATAGTAGTGTAAATAATTCACCTTAAACCTATGGTGTGCTATAGAAAATGGTCAACAGTAATGTAAGGATTGTAACTGGACTTGGTTAAAGCTACTGGAAGATGTTTCGTCCCTCATCCAAAGGACTTCTTCAGTTCTGACTGACTGGCAGGGAAACTCAGCTATTTAACCTCAGTGGGGTCGTTGGCCCGGGTCATCGATACCGCTGGTTCTTAGTGTTCCTTGTTTCTGTGACGACAGTCGTTACAGTCGTTAAGACTACCTGTGGCCAAGACTGAACGACCATGAGGAATGCACAGACCTGTATATTGGGGAGACTAAACAACCACTACACAAACGCATGGCTCAACACAGAAGGGCCAACTCCTCAGGTCAAGACTCTGCAGTCTACTTGCATCTGAAGGACAGAGGACACTCGTTTGAGGACCACCAGGTGCACATTTTAGACAGAGAAGATGGATGGTTTGAAAGAGGTGTCAAGGAAGCATCTACACCAGGGTTGAGAAGCCGTCATTGAACAGAGGAGGGGGTCTACGCCACCACTTATCCCCCACTTACAATGCTGTCCTTTCATCACTTCTCAGGAAACTCAACAAACGTAACCTATTGGCCTCAGGTGAAGATACCAACGATGGTCGTTCAGTCTTGGCCACGGCTAGTCCTAACGACTGTAACGACTGTCGTCACAGCAACAAGGAACACTAACGAACCAGCGGTATCGATGACCCGGGATAATGACCCCACTGAGGTTAAATAGCTGAGTTTCCCTGCCAGTCAGTCAGAACTGAAGAAGTCCTTTGGATGAGGGACGAAACGTCTTCCAGTATCTTCAACCAAGTCCAGTTGCCCTTGATTTTTAACCTTCGTTGGATAAGGATTGTATAATTTTGCAAGATTTGCAAAAGAGTTTGTATGGCCAATTTAGTCTCGGCTCAAAAGAAACACCGTAACTCGCTGCTGATCCTCTTGTCTCCTTGCTCTGGCACAAAGGGGAAGTTTACAAATGCCTTCACGATGCCTTTCTTCATCCAGGGATGTAGGCAGCATTGAGCTGTCCAACGTGACGGGCTTCATTCTGAACGTGCCATCCAACCTGCGCTGGGGGCCTCTCCGGCTGCCGCTCAAACGCCAGCACTGGATCGGAGTCCGAGAGGTGGGCGGAGTCTACTACAACTTGGACTCCAAACTGCGTAGCCCTCAACCCATCGGCAGCCCGAATGAGCTCAGGTGAATGTGATGTTTACATGCACGTGTTCTTACTGTGACAGCTTTGGTCAGAAATATTATATATAATATTACTAATTGTGCTAATTGTGTGGGTTCATCCATCACATGTAGCAGCTGTGTTAAGGGAATACACCAGGTGTGCCATCTTTAGCAGCAGGGTGGTGGTGATGGTGATCTAAGCGTGATAATGGTGGTCTGTCAGATTGCCATGAAATGTGGTATTCAGTCAGGTACCGACCTCTGTGACTTAATGAACACTTTTTGCAGCTGTTTCACAGTAAAGGCTTCGAATGAGTCACAGCTGGATTGCTCTTTACTGTGAAGCAGCTGCAGGAAATGTTGTGTTTGCATTGATGGTAGATTAACACAGCTCAACAACGAATGCTACAGTACACAGGAGCTACAGAACTGAACAAGATTCATTTTTCAAAAATGGCAAATTCTCTCCTGTTGCCTGTTTGACCACACAAGGATCAGTTAAGTCTTTGTTACCATTTTAACAGGTATGTTTTCCCAAAGCTTGATGTATCCATTGTTGTTTTAGGAACGAATAGCTGCCTCCAAAAAGTCAAAGTCATCAGTTGAGAGGACATCGAATCACTACACTTTCTTTAACATTTACTTGATTTTATCCAAAGCAACTTACAATTGCTATATACATCAGAGGTCGTACGCCTCTGGAGTGTCTTGCTCAGGGACACAATGGTGGATGTTTCGCACTTCTTCCACACCAAAGGCATGCGTCTCATCCACTGCTCCATCACCACAACATGACACCGGACAGTGCAAGGCTGCCAGGGCAGTACAGTGAAGTCGACTAAACAATCAGTGTAACTGAGAGCTGACAGTTTTATAACTATACCATGACACGAATGCACACTTTTTATTTCTCTGACTGTTTAGAAATCTGATGTTTTCACACATCACATATGATGAACAAAGGCATTAAAACGTGGGTCTTATAGGTAAAACTCGGCAGGTGTGGATTTGCAGATAAGGTGTACTGAAGAAAAGACTCATAATGCTGAGTGTTTAGAAAACCAAGAAATATCTATAGCTAAGACAAGGCATGAGGGACTCAGTGACTGCCATAATGGTTGGAAATACATATATGATTATATAAAACATGCTATGCTAAGCTAACTGGCAGTAGCTTCAAATTTACCGTACAGGTATGAGAGTGGTATCAATCTTTGAAACCCACAGAGAATAATCACCAGACTGAACGGTGCCTCTCAGCTCTATGGAGCGTTGTAGCGTCTCGTAGCTGATCGCCTTGGTTTATACAGAACGCAGAGTCTTCTCTTATTAACCTCGTATTCAGTAGCAGCAGGCAGCTGTTTTATAGCAATAACGCTCTTATAAACCAACTGTATGCCACCTGCCAGCCAGATAGACAAAGTTAGTTACTAGCTTGTGAATATTGTGTGGCATTAAAAAGCAAATGAGCAAGATATTTCTCTCAGAAGTTAGTTAAAACCGAAAAAGAGCTAAAAGGAGAGTAAATATTGGTCTTACATTTATCAGGTAGCCAGCATGACTTCAAATAAATGTCTGCTAGATGTCTAAATAGGCAGCAACTTTAGAAAGTGAGCATGTTAGTGCTGTGTTTTTGCTGCCCCTAAGTGGCCAAAAAATTAACTTGCAGCTTTAGCACAGGTCTGCCCTTTAAAGTATTGCCGGGTTGGCCTTTTGTTTTACACTAATTGACATAAAAGAGTTGCTCCTCTTGCTTGTCATCATCATAACTGCGGCTGTCCGTTTTTTGCTGTTGATGTTACCACATCCCAGGAAGTTTCTCCGCCAGCAGCTGCGAGGGAAGAACTGTGAACTCCTATTGGTCGTCTCAGAGGAAGTGGAGGCGCACCAAACCTGGCGGTCCGACGGCTGAGGGTTTAACCAGCCGATCACAGCTCCAGCTGGACCAACAGGCCAATCACAGAATGAATGGGAGAGGAAGTAGAGTCATGCACAGCCCCCTCCCCTCCTTTTTGGGTTTTGTTTACACAGCCATTGCTGGACCCTTATCTGATTAGATGCAAAGCAATGAAGGAAGCAAACACTTTACAGGGAGAATCAATGAATCACAGTCCTTTACTCACAACACAGTTAAGACTTATAAAAGTTACTATTCTGTTTCTGCTATTCTTGTGTTTTTATATATATTGACTATTTTTCAATGTCAGTTTTGATCTGTTAAATTTTTTTCCTTGTTACTTTATCAAGTTTCCAAAGTCATGGGAGTTCAGGCTTTAAGAAAAATGCTGTGTTTATCTGCCGGTCTCCCACAATGATCCTCCCTGCTTCAGTCATGATGTTCACTGATGTGTCTTTGTGTTTCTGTCCCTCCCCTCATGTTGTGAACTCTCTATCCGTATCCTCCGTCCTTCACTTTCACCAAAGCGTGCCCTTCCTTGCCTCAGTGTGACTCCATCTCGCTCATCCTCTCTGTCCCTTTTTCATTTCACATGCCACAGTCAGTGATTTATCACGATGCCAACTTTGTATTTCACCCACTTCACAAACACTGCTGGCACAGACTGAGCCTACAGAGGCTGTGCCGACACAACAGTTTTTATATGCAACAAAGCAATGCAACGCCCAGGCCAAGCACTCCCTCTAGTGGATCTTTGCCTCAGTTTCCTATTGAGGAAGAAGTAAAAGGCCATTCATCCAGGTTTTTTTTAATTGTTCATATTCAAATGGTTACATTAAAGTAATGAAGAAATCGAGGAAATAATGCAATAGTAACAATTATCATTTTTCATCATAATATAATATATATCAAATTCTAGTAAGAAGAAAACCAGTTGTCTAAATTATTGGTAAAATCAAACGTACTGAAATGTTCCCAAAAAATTAAATCACAGAAATTGGCCATATTTTGTATTACCATGCACAGTTACGGTGTGATCTAGAATAATCTCAATTCAAAGTCTGCTTACAAGTTCTGGAGCTTTTGACCACGTGACATGGTCCTCTTCAAACTGAGAGTAGATGTACAAACTTTCCAGTAGTGCTGAAACAGCAAGTTGATCGTGAGGAAAAATTATTGGCATGAATTTTGATGATTAGTAATCATTTAAGTAATTATAAAAAAAACCGACATCTGATTCTCCAATTCTCTGAGTCATTTATGATGGTAACATTAATATTTTGGGGTTTGGGACTGGTACTCAGACAAAACAAGCCATTTAAATATGTAAACTTTGTGCACTGAGAAATGTTGATGCCAATTTTGTAACATTTTTCCGACCTTTTACTGACCAAATGATTAATCAATAATCAAAATAACCACCAGTCTCCGCTCTGCTTTCCAGCATACGGTTCTGTCCCAGCTGAGTACACTTGATCTGCTTATGAGGACTGTGTGTTTTGGTCAAAAGCTCCAGACCAAATGATCTTGTGAGTTTAGACTGTCAGTAATAACCTGAATAATTATTATGAGGTTGTAGGTTCAAATTAATGAAAATAAATATAATTGAATGTGTCCATATCAACCACTCTTGCTTAATTAGAGCCACAATTATTTCTTGCACAGTGGCTCCACACTGGTCCAAAGGGTCACCACCACAGCCCTCTGTAGCACAGGAGCTCAGCTGATGCAGGGCTCCTCCTCCTCTTCTTACACATTTCATGTCAAATCTGCCAAACACAGCTCAGAGAGGACGTCACAGATCGTCCCACCAAGTCATATACAGCCAGCAGGGGTCTCTTAATAAGTGAGGATTCAGTCTGAGGAGGGGTTCGGTCGTTGGTTGCGCGAAGGGAAGTTGTCAGATGGAGCGCGAAGAGCCTGGGTAGAAAGAAAAGTGAAAGTTGACAGCCCGGCTAGTAAGCTGCGTGTTGATTATTGTGAAATGAGCCTTATGAGAGAGTTTGTAGCTGTCAAATCAATCAGCTTAAGAGAAACTGTTAATACTATACATGTATTGTCTGTTTACGAAAATATTGGCCTTAACTTGTTTACATAAGAAAATATTTGTTGCTCTGAAATAGTAAGAGGGGCTGTGCAGTTTGACTCCATTTCAGGAGATTTATTCCAAAGCACCAATTTATCGTAAATGTAGAGGAGCTCATCAAATATGAATTTTTCACTTTTGCAGCCAAGGGCTTTATGTTATTTACAATTGCTTGACAGTATGATTTTTGTAAAGACAAGATCATGTTTTTCAAGGGTGTGTCTTATTTTGGAACAAAACTGTTCACTTCCAGCTCAGTCTTTAGACCTTTAATGTCAAATCCAAGTGAACCTGCATCGAAACATCAGAGAGGCTGGCATTCATGTGCTGAGATTTTTGGACCCAATTCCATTATGACTAATGTCTCACAATTGCATTCAACATTTGCTGTTTTTGCCATGACAATCCATCAGCCCTTCCTACTTAAGGAACACTGATTGTCATTGTATTTGTTTGTTTTTGTTTTTCTGTTTGTTTTTTGCATAGAAATAAAATGCTTATAATGGCACTTTATGTATAAGCTACAGTGTGGGTGTATTAAATTTCAGTCATTATTTTCTCTGAAGGGATCGTTGTTGAGTTATGGAGCAGGATATTCCTTGTCTCAGCCTAGTTGGGGATGCTTTGGTCAGTAGTAAAAAGTACATTTACTCAGGTACCCTACCTCAATACAGTTTTGAAATAATTGTTCATGTTATGCTCCTTAATAATTCTACCCAGAGGGAACATGTACTTTTTACTCAACTACATAGATTTTACAGCTGCAGTTACTTTTCAAATTAATATTTTACATAAAAAACATGTAAAAATCATGAAAATACAAATTTTTGAAGTACAAATTTGTTTTGTCCTACCCCATTACTCATCTCCCAACCCCTTAGGTTTATCTTGTTGGGCTCTGACCCCTAGGTTAGGAACCACTGGTAATTCATGACAGAAACACCATCCACCTTTTTTACACACTGTATCATACTATATAACTAGAAAAACCACATTCAAAACATGAAACAGTTGAGAATGCTTCGAAGTTGATTATGTCAAGTATGGGAATTGTAGCAGAAGTGCAAAAACACAGGTATAAAAGCATAAACATACATTATTTAAGTTTGTGTACTTTTATGTGCACTTCTGCTTTTGTTCTGGTTTACTCTTGAAAAACAAATCAAGTTATAAAAGCACACTTACTTCTCTGAGAATAGTATCCAGAAGTATTTTAGGGATCCCTTTCATGGCTTTTGCTAACAATTAATCCCTAAGAACAGACCACAGAACCACTATCTGCATTAATGCATGCACTAATCATCACCAGCTAGTTCTGGAAGCAGGGAGAGACTAGGGGCCGACCTTGTCCTTATGGATTACAAGTCAAACTGTCCCCAGTTTTCTTCTGTCTGATAAAACATCAAAACAAGTGATAAAACACACAAGATCATCTTTGCAAGACACTGAATCCCAGTGACTGTGGTGAGTGACAATGGACCACAGCCAGGAGCACAGAGGCTTTTTAGAGACACATAGCTTTGAACATGTAACATCAACTCCACTGTTTCTACAGCCAAATGGCTTGGCTGAAAAAGAAGTGCAGATTGTGAAACGACTGCTAAAAAAAAGCTGCCGAGACTGGTGGACACCATGATGTCCGCTGGAGCAGACAGATGTGGTAACGTTACGTGTCAGATGTTATGGAAAATGGGGACCTGTGTTGCCAAGATAATCAAAGAGACAACATCGGGCAACGCACTGCAAAGAAATTGTTCCCACCGGCTACAAGTGCCCAACACCAGTCTTGAAAGGATGGAGATGGGCATCAAAGATGGACTGAGAGAGCAGACAAGTGCAGAGCACAACCCACCCAGATTTTCAGCGGTTAGTGGAAATGGTTATGAAGACCTACTTCCCTCTTTCAGATGAAAGCAAAAAACGTTGTCAGGCGGATCGAGGTGAGAGGATTCTGATTCTGATCTGCCCAAACGCATCGCCTGGTCAAGCAAGGAGAATCCTCTTCCCTTTCAATCGAGCCAAGTCAGGGTTTGTCTTCTTCAGCTGGGATAAGCCTTGGAAAGCCAAGATTAAAACCAATAGACAATTGCCTAGTTGCGTCTTGGTTGGTATTCTTGTACCATGACTGGCTCAACCCTGCAAATTATGCCAACAGCACCTTCCCACGGTTTGAGCAGCCTTGAGCCACCTCAAAAGAGTCCACAGGCCCAGCAAAATCTGAGTTCCGTTTCTTGAGCGCTATGTCCTAGGAGCTTTGCTGCCCAATGGGGATTATCCCAACATATGCGAGCCAAGCATGATGCGGCATATTTGGATTACCCTTGGTGGAAGTAATGGTGCCCACCAAGAGTGGAATCAAGATGAGGAGGCCTGCCTTCTTCAGCTTATGGATAATCACCCTCAATTTTCTGAACTATATGTTGCAGTGAAAGAAAGACTCGGTAAATAAAGTCTTTGATTAAGCACAAATCTGATTGCCTACGGGCCACTTACTTTACTAAACCAGCTGAAACTGTTGCCTCGGTAGTCCCCAAAAAAGCCCTCCTCGACAAATTGAGGTCTCCAATTCCTCCTAACCCTGATGTTGAGAAAGTCAAGAAGCACCTTGAGATCATCACCCAAGCAGACTTATGATAACATAGTGGGGGGTACAGACCCCTTTGTAGACTTAGGTCACTTCGCTTCGGCCATCAAAGCAGATAATACCCCATTTTACTGCCCAATCTCCTCTGATGAGGACCTAGCTGCCATACATTGTATTGGGAGAGGTTATGCCCTACAATGGCTTGCCAACGCCATCATGTTCAAGGGCAAAATACCCGATTGCCTGAAGAGTAGTGCCACTACATTCATCCCCAAAACCTCTGAACCCGAAAAGCTTAAAGACATAGGGCAGTGGAGAACAGTGGAGATGCCATCCATAGTGCCTTCTCAGGTGTACTGTGTTGGAGGCTGACCGAGGCCTGCAGGACTCATCAGTGGCAGAGAGGATACGCTGTTGCGCCGAGAACCTAATCTTTCTGGAAGGCATGAATAAACTAAAAAAGAGAAGAAGGCACTTGTGGTGGTCTTCATTGATTTTGCATACTGCAAGGCATACACTACTGTTAAAACTGCTGAAGGCACCACAACCCGTATTTATATCACTACAGGCGTCAAGCGGGGAGACCCTCTCTCCCCTCTCCTCTTCAACCTAGAGGCTGACCCCCCACGTTAGATGCGTGAAATAGTGGATTTGCGATCCACGGTAAGAACGTGGCCTCTATGACCTTTGCGGATGATTTGGTGTTGCTTAGCAGTCCCTGGGAAGGTATGTCCCTTAACCTGGCCATACTAGTAGCTATCTACTAGGTTCTAGTAGCTAGAGGGTCCATAGCCATCATCCTGGATGTCACCATCCGATTTGAAACCTCTGAAAACACCCTATTTGACTCTGCACCTGGGAAGGTTGCCAAACACCTCCCAAAAAGTAACTTGTCAAGTTCTGACCTTACTAACCAAAACTGATTAAAAAAACTGGCTCTGTGATTGGCTTTACCCCTGACCCACTGCAGCTCATCATAAAAAAGAGAACATGTGCCAAACTAAAGAATGTCATGGATATTGTAGACCATCCACTCCACAGTGTCTTTAAGTGGCCGACTGAAGATGCCCCAGGGTTTCTACCAAAAAGCTCAGACGTTCTTTTATCCCAACAGCAATTAGATTTTTTAATGAATATTTCTGATTTTGAATGTAATGTTCCCAGCTGGTCCTATTTGTAGCTGGTGGCAACTGAGTTTCCCCATTGGGAATTAATAAAACTTTCTAATGTAATCTCATATAAACTTGTCTTGTTGGGAGGTTCATTTAAAAAATGTAATCTGATACAATTACTAATTACTTGTTTAAAAGTGTAATCAGTAACGTAATCCAATAAAATAAAAGTAATGTTTTTACTGATTACTGTTAGTTACTTTTGGATTATTTCAGTGCCAAATGAATACAAGAGAAGTATCAGTGATGCGTTGTCTGCTTAGCGTATCTTTAGAGAAACATAGAATAACAAAATCTCACATTCCCCAAATCCGTGTTTAAATGTTTTTATATGATATTCTTTGCACTATGTCCCCACTGTGGCAGTATCTGGCCCATCTATGACAAAACACATTGTTTTGTAGGTATTCTTGAGGATAGTTTGTCATTTGGAAAATTACATTTTAAAATGTTGATGACTCATTCTGCACTTAATGGAAAGTTTTCTCAATATAATGCTGCTGAAGCATTGTTTCTGGGGCCGGGCCCCACTGATTACTGTACAAAAACACAACTTTTTTCACTTATTTTGGTGAAACTGGGTCATATTTAATGGAGAAATATGTAAAATATTTTTCTAGTTTTCTCTCTGATGTCCCCCGGCTGCTCTGTTACAACTCTGTTATTCACAGAGTTTCCTGATTGACAGATAGCTTTACTTGTTGCTGAAGTTAAGGCTACTAGCTGCTGTTATTAGCTCAGTTAGCTGGAGCTCGGAGCGCCAGGGGAGTTAGTGTTTATCATAGACCATAGATACAGCTAGGGTAGCTGTCAACTTGAGTAGTTTACTGAAGTATGTGCAATCAAGAGTAAAAGACAATACTTTATCGATACATCTGTTTAACAAGCAAAACATGTACAAAGTGTTATTTTATCTGCTCTGTCCACGTCTCTCATCCTCTATGTTATTAGCACACCTAAGGTAACACTAGCTTGGCAAAGAGCTAGACGTACAACAAGCTAAATGAAAGCTGTCTGTAGTCTAACTGTTCAGCTTAGATTGCCATGTAGCTTTAAATTGGCACATTGTTTCCTGCAGTGAATCACAGCAGAGACAGTGGGAAGGAGGACAAGAGGAAGGACTGATACATATGCAATGCGCTGTCTTCTTCTGAAATAATGAAAAAAAATCCTCACCCAATTGCACAATATTCAAAATAGAACAATTACAAAACAAATACACAGAAACAGTAATATTATCAATAACACAACATGTGAATTAAATTGGTATAATAAAGAGGAACTTACTAGTAAGTAAGCCCGACCCAAAACACACACATCTATTAAGATAAAGGTAAAATACCAGGAATGCACAGGCACTGTGTTTGTAGGCTACATGCTATACTGTATATTGTGCTGAAGCTGTTTTTTGGTAATTTGGGCTGAAAAGACATCTTTATTAACAAAACCAATTTACAGCAATCTGACATCACTCTTTCCTAGACATACTAATGTATACAAAAAATTATATAATGTAATTTTCACAATCAGTCCAAATGTTTGGATAAACCTTCCCATTCAGTCGTTTCTCTTTACTTAGTTGAGTGGACAGTAGTCAAATAGTGACATACACTGTATTGAACTACCGTAACCTCGGCACAACAGAACTGATGATGTTAAAAACTTTAAGAAGGTAAGACAGTCCACAAATTAACTCTTGACAAGGCACACCTACTAATCAAAAACTATTTCAGGTGACTACCTCATGAAGCTGATGCCATGAGTTTGCAACACTATCTAGCCCATACATTGACTAATTACGTTCACAATATTGTTATTAAAATGTGCTATTTAGCCTACCCACATTGATATAAATGGGGTTGAAAGCATAAAATGATTGAATGATGATGATGGAATCACACCTCCCCAAAACAGTTTCAACAAAGCCTGCATCCACAAATGCAATTTGAAACTCTTACCATGCAAAGAGGAGACCTTATATAAACCAGATTCAGAAACACCGCCTTCTGTGGCCTCAAGCTCATTTAAGATGGACTGAGGCGAAATGGAAAACTGCCCTGTGGTCTGATGAGTCAAAATTTTAAATTCTGTTTTCTGTTCTGTTTTGAAATCATAGACCCCTAGTCCTCCAGGCTAAAGAGGAGAGGGACCATCCAGCTTGTTATTAGCACACAGTTCAAAAGCCAGCATCCGTGATGGTATGGGGGTGCATTGGTGCACATGGCATAGGTAACCTGCACATTTATGAAGCCACAAATAATGCTGAATGATATATACACCTTTTTTGGAGCAACATATGCTGCCAAATGGACAACGTCTTTTTCAGGGAGGGCCTTGTTTATTTCAGCAAGATAACGCCAAACCACATTCTACAGGTATTACAACATGGCTCTATAGTAAAAGAGTCTGGGTGCTAAACTGGCCTGCCTGCATTCCCAACTTGTCGCCGATAGAAAATGTTTGGCACATTATAAAATGAAAAATACAACGAAGGAGCCCCCGAAATATTGAGCAGCAGAAATCCTACATCAAGCAAGAATGGGAAAACATTGCACTTTCAGGATTACATCATTTGGTCTGCTCAGTTCAAAGACTGTTACAGAGTGTGTTAAAAGAAGAGGTGATGCATCAATGTGGTAAACATGACCCTGTCCCAACTTTATTGCCAGTGTTGCTGGCATGAAATTCAAAATGGGCATATCATTTTCCAAAAACAATAACATTTCAGTTTCAACATTTGATAAGTTGTCTTTGTGTTATTTTCAATTAAATATGGTGTTTCAGTGTTTGGCACATTATCACATTTTGTTTCTATTTACATTTTACAGGAGTGCCAGCTATTTTGGAAAAGGGGTTGTACTAATGTAGCGCCACCTTGACCAACTACTACAGTAAAAGATGCTACTTTAGTTACATTTATGTATCAGTGTTACCAATCTAATAATGTAATATTTAATAATATACCAGGTGCCACTCTGCACAATGAGTAGGCTACTTTTACTTTTGATAATTAAAGAACATTTTCCAGTGATACTTTACACTTTTACTGCAGCGAGATTTTGGATGCCAGAGTTTTACTTGTTAACCGAGTATTTCCACATCACAGGACTCCTAATTTTACTTAAGGGTCTTCGTACTTCATCCCACGCTGTTTTTTTGGTATCCATCCATACACACTGGATGAAGGACGAGGATGATGAGGCAGCTGGTTGCGCGCGCGGGCTCATTGTAAAAGGGAGCGCGCTCTCGGAGGCGGGTGCGCGCGAAGCGGTGTGCAGATGTGTCGCAGATTTTGTAAAGTCACTGGACGCTGGGAAAGATAGATCTGAAGGAAGTCGCTCCGGATAAACGGGCCCGTAAACTGTCAGGAAAACAAGGCTGCGGAGGGAGAAACGGCAGGAAGAGGACCGACCCGAAGGACCTCGGTCATAACCAGACAACGTTAGCGTAGTTTGTGAAGGAGAAAAACGCTACTTTGAGTTAAAAGCCAGCGGACGGAGGCGTGCACAGAGATGGAGCTGTCAGCGATTGGGGAGCAAGTGTTTGCTGTGGAAGCAATCCTCAAGAAAAGATTTAGAAAGGTAACCGTTTAACATTTTGTCAGCATTTGAGGGAGATTTGTAGGAGCATTTTGGGATGCTACTTTGGATGCTAATGAAAGCTTGAGAGCTTAAAAGAAGAGAATTCCGCGGTAATCTGGTTATCTAATTGCAGGCTGTATGAAGGGGGCGGGTTAAAGGAGCGTGTCCCTGTAATGTAACGTAGAGAGTGTTGTTGTCATTGCACTACAGCTTAACATGTCAGGTGTTCAGTTAAAATATGAGGGTGTTGTCAGCCAAACACCTTTTTACGGCCTGTTTGCTCGCTAATTGGATTTGGGTCTAAGTTACCATATGGTGCTGACAGATGAGGTGCGCAGCTAGAAATCATGTTTCCCCCGGAGCGCAGGAGGGCCCCTGAAGCTCCTCCGTTTATTAGTATCCCCCAACCTCCACAGTTTCATACAACCAGTTTTAACACTGATAGGATCTGTAAATCTAGTAGGTAAACAACATTATTTAAACACTTGATGGTAAGAGGAACTGTTCTGAATAATGCAAGGTTATAAGCACAGTAGATACAAATGAAGGGAATGTTAGTCATTATGCCAATTAGCTGCATTTTCTGCCAATTAGTAGCCTACATTAATGTCAGAGTTTTAAAGTAGTTTGAGACAGTATGCTCAAAATGAAAATGGTAAAATAGCAGCTAATTTAATTTCACATCTGTCATCTCACACTCAAAATTTCACATCTTCCAACATGCAGTGGGCCTGCAACTAATGATTATTTTGATCATTGAGCCATCTGTTGACAGTTGTTTTGATTTATCAATTTTCAGTTTAGTCTAAATTCACAATCACAATTTTTTCAGAACCAAGAGACTTTTACAATTTGCCTGTTTTGTCTTACTGGCAGACCAAAATGCAAAATTACTGAATTGCATTCATTTAAAATAGAGAAAATCTTTAAAATCTTCATTACTAATATTTATATAGTTTATAATATTATTTATACAATCAAAGTGGATTACACTTTAAGTACATTCACAAGTGTATGCGACCAACAGCAATAAGGCAAAATATTGACTGCGGTTTGACTTTAAACTTAAAGTGACATAGGCCAATATTAAAACCACTTTTAATACTCAGTGACTATGTTTGTCCATTCACAATTCAATACCTGTCAAATTGTCACATAAAATATTGGTAAGGTATTGTTGAAGCACTGATTACCCCATGAGTGCATTCTTTACAAGTAGAATTTATTATGTGGTCTACACTGGAAGTTGTGGAAGATCTAGGCACTTCCTTTTAAGAACAAGCACATACAATTCTGTTAATTTAGGCCCTCTAGTCTCACCAAATATACGGTATTCATTTCCGTTTTTGAGGGGGGGGGGGTGGGTGAGTAAAACAAAGTCGGGAATAGTGGTGACTTCACCCGCTGAGAATACCTTTGAGGGCTTGGCAATTATTATTGGATGATGTCACTGAGGATGACTCCGAGTGGCTTGGCTGGTATCTGGAAAACACAGTATATTTTACGTTATCTTTTAATTATAGATGTTGCGTGATGGCATGGAAACATCCTCCCACACATAAACTCCATTCAACAGCAAGAATGTTATGGAATATAAACATTAAATAGAAAAGAAGATGGATCTAAATATCATCTTAAGCAAGCAATCTTTGTCGAGAAAACCACTCATTTACACTGTGATCAATTATGTTTACAGAGAAACAAAACGAGTTCAAATTTTTACTTACACAAATGTATTTTCATATAACATCCTTGTATGATACTATAAATGTATAATTCATAGCACTCTCTCTCATCACATTTATACAGTTGTGTTTGATGATTGTAGCACCTCCAGTAGGCCAGTCATCACTAAGAAACACTTCAATCTTTATCAATATCAGACATGTGGCGTCTCAGATATCTGCAAAGAAATCACATTTGATAGATGTAGATGGGAAAATGATGCATCCCACATGTATTAAGGTAGTATTAGAAAGACTGTGGAAAGTATATTCTGTGAAGTCCTAAGTGAAATTAACGTTTTGGCTGATAACGACTCGCTGATGGCTCTTGAAACATATGTCTCCACAGGGGAGTGTGGAGTATCTGTTGAAGTGGAAAGGATGGCCTCCAAAGTAAGTATGTGAACTTAATAAGAAGAATGGATGGATTATATGACCATCGTGAATGTGAATCTCATTCCCACTGACATGGACAACAAACTGTACATGTGCACAGAAAAAATTCATGATAATATAAAAAAATGAATAAAAAAACATGCTAATTATCAAAGATAGCATAGGATACACACAGAATGATGTTTGATGAGCTTATGTGAAAAGTAATTTGACACATTGATTTATTATTAAGGTCTAATAAGTATGAACAATTTTTTTTATAATTTCCACAACATGTATTAGAGAACGACCAGTAAATCGTGGTGCTGATATTATCGGCCAATATGAGCTTTTTGCAGATAAATCGGTATCAGAGTTTATAACAGCCGATTAATGACATAAGACGGATCGTTCAATCATGTTATGAGTGTTGTCGTTGAATAGTTTGTCCACCAGAGGGTGCTCTGCTACTCCCCTGTGGGCAACACAACACATTAAGCAGCTGTACTTTTGTTCATTAAAAAAAGTTTATTTTTAAACTGTATTATGTCAAGTTATCTTTGTGAGGTCTCATAACTAATCATAACAAATGTCAAATGTTAGGGATAATCTTTGTTTATGTTATGTGTTTCTGAAAAGAAGGGAGAAAAAGAATATTGGCCGATAAATCGGATTATTGGATTTTAAAATCCTCATATATAAAAATTGGCATCGATCCCATATCGGTCAGGCTCTAGTATGTATAATAATTTTCACAATTTGTTTCGAAACTCTGATGATTAAAAGTACTGTGAAAATATTTTTCCAAACTGTGTTTTTTTATCAGGTTATTTGCCACAACAGAAACACCATCCTTTATTTCACGCTTTGCGATTAAAAAGTTATGATTGGGTGAGTCTATGTCGATGATACTGTCCTCTCTGAGCGTTTGTGCAGTACACAGTTACTGTTTGACTGGAACCAAAGACGATAGAGACATTTTTCAGCCAACACATAATTAGTTTAAATGGAGAATGTTAAATAACAACGCAGTAATGGACAGACATACTGATTTAATGTGTCGATTGAATGCAGTAACAAATAAATGAAGGAAATAGAAAAATGAAGGAGGCTTGTATACTATGTTTTACATCTTGTAGGTACAGTACATGGGAACCTGAAGAGCACATTCTGGACCAGCGCTTAGTGCAGGCCTATGAAGAGAAGTAAGGCTCCAATTTTCTTTGGATTATAACTAGATCTCCCAAAACACATACAATCCACACAAGTGGTTTCATTATTCTGCTAGGCTGATAATAAGGGGTGCAAGGTGTCATTCATTAGAAAGGAAGTAACATGCACTCAAGTCTGATTTTCTTTAAAGGTGCCCCGTGGATTTTCTGTTTACACTCAGTGTTACTCTATTTGTCCCAGTATTATTATTATAATTTTCAACTGCAGTAGTTGGCAAGAGGTTTTTAATGCATTCCCTCCTTTTTTCTAAACTGGACTGCAGGCTTGGAAGTTATAGAATCTTGATGCAAGCACGCATGAGAACAAACAAAATGGAGACCCACTAGGGCTGCAACTAACGATTATTTTCATTATCAATTAATCTGGCAATCATTTTCTCATTAATCAATAGTAGTTCGGTCCATAAAATGTCAGAAAATTGTGAAAAATGTCAATCAATGTTTCCCAAAGCCCAAGAGGACATCCACAAATGTCTTGTTTTGTCCACAATCCAAAGATATTTACTGGTCATTTTTTTTGTTTGTAGAAGAGTAAAGAAACCAGAAAATACTCACATTTAAGAAGCTGGAATGAGAATTTACCCGAAGTCAAAACACTTCACCGATTATCAAAAAAGTTGGCGATTAATTTAGTAGTTAAGAACTAATAAATTAATCAACTAATGGTTGCAGCTCTAGAACCCACTAGTAAAACACTGTTCCGTAATACTCAGAAACGGTCAGAAACTCCGCAGGTTACCTTTAAGGAACCGATGTTTTGTTGCTCATACCCTGGATATGTTTTTCTTATGTGTTGTGAAAATGTAATCCAAGAACAGCTACTGAAGACATTTTTCCATCAGCCTCATTTTAACAGTATACTTGGCTTTTTAGAGAGCAGAGAGACAGAGCACTGGGTCACAGGAGAAAAGGATCCAAAGCCAAAAGACTTCTTCTGCAGGTAAATTTTAGAATTTTCTAATCTATATAACTTATTCATTACTTTAATACATGTTTAACTCTCTTTCCTTTAAAACCAGTTTGAATCTTACTCAAATGTTTCTGATTGTTTTTTCAAGTTTCAATGTTTCAGTGATTTCTCTTTGATCTTTATTCAGAATACTGTCTACACCATGGATCTCCGCAGTGCTCACAAGGCTGCAGAGAAACCTTCACCACGCCTACGTCTCTCTTTGACGCGCTCTCTGGTCCCTGAGGACGAGGATCAGATGTACAAACCCAGGAGGTCACAGTTCAAGTGCTTTGACTCAAACCCTCCAAGTCCTACACAAGAGGACTGGGAAAGCCGGGGAGAGGAAGAAGAGGAGGAGTGCAATATAGAAGATGAAGATGATAGAGTGGAGGAGGAGGGGGAGAAAGAGGATGCTCTAAAGGGGACAACAGAGAAGAGAGGAGGCATTTTAAATGGTAAGTGTGTCAGTCGGTCAGCCAGTAAACTCTAATCAGCATCACGACCCAGTTTTTTTGACTCTTTGTGAACCTTCTACTAGGCCCGGCTATCCACAGGCTTTTTCCACTGGGCATGCAACCAAAAACATTAACCTTCCTCCATCCTGAGCTGATTCAAGAGTAAATCATGCAGAGGTCAAAGTATAGACCCATTAATGACTCTGTATTTGAAGTTTCTGTTGTACATGTAAATGTACAGCAGCTACTGTAGAGTCTCTACTTTAGAAGCAAAAAGTGTACTACAGTTATTTTGCATTTATATGCACTGAAACCCAGAATGTTAACATCATTTTGCTTGAAAGTTTGACACCATAGCAAATGTAAATCTTTAATGAATGAATAATGAATATGTAGTTTGACAGTTACAAGAGTATCCATCCATCTAGTTTCGCTCCTCCGGGGCTGGATCGCGGTGGCAGCAGGCTTAACAAGGTAGTCCAGACATCCCTCTGGTAGCAGACCCTCTCCTACCAGTTGGACGTGGCCGGAAAACTCCAAAGGAAGGCGCCCAGGAGGCGTCCTGATCAGATGCCCAAAGCACATCAACTGGCTTTTTTCGACGTGAAGGAGCAATGTCTCTACTACGAGCCTACTCCGGATGTCCAAGCTTCTTACCCTATCTCTAAGGCCGCCTACGGAGGAAATTCATTTCGGTATCCGCAATCTCATTGTTTCGGTCACTACCCAAAGTTCATGATCACAGGTGAGTGTTGGAACATAGATCGATTGGTAAATCAAAAGCGCTGCCTTCCGGCTCTGCTCCCTCATCACGAGAACGGTCCGGCACAACGGCACCCTGTGGACCCACCACCTGCAGCGATAGGCATTGGGGTTGCGCGCACTGTCAGCTGGGCGGCAGGACCTAGGCGTGCTGACTCCTGGTATCGCAGGCTGGTTCTAGGGACGTGGAAGACAGAGTAGTTTTAATGATTTAAAGGTGAGATATTACTACATCTTCTCAAAATAATGATGTGGAGTGCAGAATGGGGCACTTCTGTCCTCCCTATCACCTCAGAAGCACTCAGAGGTGTCTGTTCCTGCAGCCAAATGCACCCTATCTGCCTTTGCTAGTTTATAACATCTATCAGAGCACAGATAACCTATCCAGGTCAGTCCAGGGAGGTTAACTCAATAACAGTACACATGTGATAGGCTTGATGCAATCGTCTGACTGTTACTCTCTCCATGTTCCTGTCTTGCTCAGGACAGGAAAGGACAGACGAGTGGAGCTCTGCTATCGTACCAGACGAGGTCACTGCATCAGAGAAGCTGGAAGACGTCTGGAGACCCATCATCAGTCCGGGAGAGGTGACAGTCACAGATGTCACCCTCAACTCCCTCACAGTGACTTTCCGAGAGTCAAGAGTGGCCAAAGGTTTCTTCAGAGACTGGGGCCTGGAGGTCTGAATTGTGATGAAGTCCGATTATGTTGGTGGGGAGGCCACAGCGAGAGGGACTTGGAGGCTCTGGCTTCATCACAGTGTGTGAATGGTGGTTGAGGGCCTGGGCTGGTGTTTTCACTCCCTCTCTGTGACCTCTCACTTTGCTCTTCCTCTTGCCAGCTACTTCCAGCCCAGTCAGTGGTACGTTTACATGCACAGAGTCACATGGATACACGCCAAACTCCAGTTAATGTTATATTTAGGTTGAGCTGTTCACTGTTTCAAAGGTTGGACTGAGTTGCCTTGAATTATTGGGGTTTGTGATAGCTATAACTGGTTGTGACTTCTATTCCAGAACAAACAGTGCAATCACCGGCTCTGGAGGACACAATGCTAGCTGAGGGCCCCATTGTTGGGCCTGGGAATCTTCCACTGACAAATAGTTGAAAATGAGACTAAGCAGGTGAGTCGGGTGAAGTGAGGGTACCAGTCATAAAGTGATATTTGAAAGTCTCACACCTACCTACAGAATCTTTGACTTGTTGCTATTGGTTCAAATGTACCAATACAGGTATTTTTTAGGATCTTGTTTTATCATGGGTCTTAACTTTTCCACCTTAAAGGTGCCCTGTAAAGTTTTCTTCAAAACAAACACGGTTATGTTTACATCCAGCGTTACTGTGCGTATCCTAGACAAACGGGTTTATGCATTTCCTTCCTCATAAAACATTTGCAAAACCGATTTTTAAAAATAATCTGGACACTGCATTTCACACGTGTTCTAAGCTTGCAGTCTTCTTCCTCCTTGCAATTTGTTTGTGCATTTTTGGTGCATTACTGCCACCCTAGACCAAACAAAACATTGCTCCTTAGCACCACTAGTGGTCAGAAACTCTACAGCAGGGGTCAGCAAATAAGTCTGGCATTGGGCCAAAATTTTTTCAAGCAGTTACATGGTGGGCCAGAACAAAGTCAAATAATTTCAAATCCTTGTATACTTGTGTACATGTTTAGCTCAGTCAGTACTTGTTAGGAAGGTTGTAGGATTGATTCCAACTTACTGTGGATATTTTTTTTCTCCCTTGTTAAACTAATTGACACTTTTGCACATGCTCACAATAAATCATTTGCTGCAGTGTGTGCGTATCCCAGTTTGATCCGCATTCAAAAACCTCTGGACGCTTATTTTCATTTCCCTGAGGAAATTCAGGGGAATCCTATCTCACGTTTACTGATGGCTTTTTCAGAGGTGTGTCAAGCAAGCCAGAGTCTCTTTTGAATGACTCTCTTTTGAATGTCCTTCGGAACTCTTCAAAGTAAAAGCTCTCAATAAACTCAACATAAAGCATTGCTGCAAAAAAAACTTCTGTCGCTTTTATGTTGGAGGCACAATCTCTTAAGAGGAAGTGATTGTGTGAGTAACTAGCTGTCATAGCTCATCTATTTCTCTGGCTGATCTCATTTTTTTACTTTCTGCTATCAAAGCAATCTGGCCACGGGCCAGAAATTATTGCTGGCGGGCCAGTTCTAGCCCGCGGGCCGCCTATTGCCAACTACTGCTCTACAGGGCACCTTTAAAGCAATTAACAGAATGGGCTTCATGGATGGAAATGTTCATGTTATTATATCCTCTCATACTTTTATGTTTTATTTGTTTTTTTTTGTAAATAGTAAATACAGGACTCAGATAAATGTAGTAGTAGAAGAGTATAAAGTAGCACAGTAGCAGAGTTATGACGTTGACATTTAGTTACGTGAAATCAAGTGACGTGAGTTATCATGTGGAGAAAGAAGAAGAGTTCTCTGTGCGTGTAAACATGGCCGCTGTTTCTGTCTCTGTACCACACTAAGCTAACCGTTCAGTACTGGACTCATACGTATTGTACATACTCAAAACTACAGTGAGGTGGGCATAGCTGTCAGTCCCATACTAACATACAGTGCTGTACCTGTAACCTGTGAACACATAGACTGTTACCACTGGACAACAGGTGGCCTAGTCTTGTATGCGTTTCAAAATGCTCTGAGAGATGATTTGATCCGCCTGCATGCCTTTCTCCTCCAGTACATCAATGCAAAGACACAGTGTAGATTTCTCTGTCCACCCAGCACCTCACCTAAAAACATACAACACACTATACAAGTGATAACTTAGTATTGTACCAAAATTAGAAAACTAGATGTGACTTGATAACAGAATGTTCTATGGAATTGCACTGTATTTACTGTACATCATGAAGGTTTATGTTTCCACCAGGAGCCTCTTTTCAGAGTTTGACAGACAGGGTAATAATAATATTTAATAAGAAGTACCAAACGGTGTCATTGATTTCCTACCTTCCAGTTACCTTTCATAAAGGCCCCAAAATCTACTTGCACTCTTAAAACTTGTTTGAGACTTTACATCACTATCTAACAATGTGTTATCTCAGTGTATTTATTAAGCTGTTATACATACATTTAAAGTAATGTAATTATGGATTTGCAAGCAGATACTGTTTGAGAAACTTTACCTGCATCTGGCTGATAAAAAACATTGCATTCAAGACAAAGAACCTTGAAGACAAAGTGTGAGGATTGTGGACATTACAGTAAAGTAGGTGTTGGGATGACCTGTGTAGGATGTAAGAAAAATCTAAATTCTGATTCAAACTCTTCTCTAATCTTTGCCATTGCTGAAATGCTGTAGTTTTAACCTTTCAGGCAATCAGCTTACAACTTATAGACATGCAACGAGGAGGTTAAAAGTCCCTTATATTGAGGGATATGTTCACAATTGTGTCTGTCTGCCTTCCAACAATAGTAAAGTGCCCATATAAACAGTGAAACCATCTTTGCCTCCTGTTAACAGTGCTGGTCATTGCTCTGCCAGTGTAAATCCACAGTCCGGATTCCAAAGTTTATCTGAAGCTGATGTGAGGTGTTAGCAGTCCAAGTTGAACAAATCAAATGGATATCTTCCAGAGTTACTCTTTTTGGTTTAAAATTTCCCCTTTGACAGTGTTTCCTTGTTGAGCTGCAGTGGAAGGATACAAAAAGACTACAGAAGCCTCATATTAGCTTCAGATGAAAAGGAGACTGGACCTTGTCCCCAATTTGGCTAATTTGAAAGGGATCTGTTCTGTATGAACAAAATAAAAGATTATAGCAAGCAAAACTCTGTTTTCATGTGAACACCTGACTATTGTTATAAGAAATTGAAATAAAAGTGAACCTATCCATTAAGGGGTTACAAACAAAAACGGTCAGGAACCACTGCTCTAAATCTCGCATATGAAATTCCCAAAGATACTTGATTTCACTAAAAAGGAGAGCATTGTTTTACCATGTGTTTGCGTAAGGTAGGTAAAAAAGAAAAAGCAAGTGGATGTTCTCTGTGATGGACTGCATATCCCAATATATATCAAGTCATTAAGGCATGAAAAACAAGTGCATGTAGAGGTTCCTTCTTGTAATGACAGAAATCCAAATAGATTTAGATATCACTAATAACAATATAATAATTAAATATCTAGGACAATAAATAAATCTAAATTTCAAAAATCTAAATTTCTGAAATAAACTGAAACCTGTTGCCTGCTGGAAGGTAGGAAATTAAACTTATAACCCGCAGTATGCTTTAACTAATGCAGTGTGACCCAGCCCCTGCCATCAATCAGATGATGAGAAAACTCAAATCATCATTAAAACAATTATAAAAACTGTTCTACCAAAAATACATAGATTGAAAGTGAAAAGTTTCCACACAGCTTTACAGACTTGTTTCCTGTAAGTGTGGTCACGGGTAAACACTGAAAAGACCAATATCACTGATTTAAAAAAGTAAAAGCCCAACTCTGAACCCAGTATATCAGTCTAACCCTGCTGGTGTCCTGCCCAGTGGACACAGGAGCTGATGTGGTGTGTCATGTCTGTGGAATCTCCCACAGTGGCGTCCCATTGGTCCGCAAGTTGTTTGTCCCGCACTGACGATGATGGGTCAGGGTCTCGTGATCTCAAAACTGTCTCTGCGTGACAATGAAGCAGCAGGGAATGGAAGTGCCTGATGTTGCATAATTTTGTAGTTGTTTTGTCTCTAGGGCTAATGTCTCCCTCCTACACACACGCACTATTACTCCCCCTGCCTATTTGGTTTCTGTATGTCTGAAAATACGATCCAGTGATGTGATGAAAACTTGACGTATGAGGAGACTTTAAATTGGAGGAAGATGTCTCTCCTCCATCCTGGGAGGGAGAGACATTACTTTTTAAGTCGTTATTTTTCTACATTGACCTGAATGTATATTTATTTTATCAAGATACTTGTGTATTTGTCACGCAGATGACTGAACAGAAGTTTTTATACAGTTTGTGATAACCACTGAGCTGATGCCATCTCTAAATGTATTGGCATGACAAAACAAGCACCTGGATTTGACGTTGCCTAATGTGGTCGCTTGTGCTGCTTTCGTCCACAACCAAGCGAAGAACCTTGCACTTTATTGTGATGTAAACCTGCACATTACCTGCTCCAGTCTATTAAGTGTTATTGTGTATAGAATATTTCTATGGGAATACTAAAATAAATGTTGCTCATGTTTAATATAATTTTAACCGAACTTGTTCAGTTGCTTATTGACATAACAAAGATACATGTTTCTAGTTACTCTGATGCATTTTAACACTATGAGTGAAATAGTGTCAGTCACTTCAGTGTCCACTGAGATGATGCTCAAACGTGTGTTAAATAATCATTTATTCACCTTTGAAAAATATCATACATAAATGCAAGAAAAGAGGAAACGATTGAGTATTTTTCCAATGGTACAAACATACTTTATTGTACAATTAATTTATTGGCAAAAACAATCAGACCACCAAAATAACTTAAAAAAAGAAACTAATGAAAACAGTTATTTTTGCTTTCTCTCAGCAAGCACCAAAATTGTTAACAAGAGGAACAAAAAAGTGGTCAAAGATTCCATTTGAATACTAAACAAATATTTAAATAGTCTTATTTCCAGTCTCTTTTTAGACGAAATGATTAAAACAAAACTATTTGTTCAGTTGCCATCGGTTTGTACAGTGATTCAGTATTTTTACAACTATATTCATGTACATGAAACATTTCTTAAAAAGGATGGTATAATATACTCCACGGCCTCCCCAGGGCAAACTGAATGACTGTCTGCAGTGTCTTTTTGCATCACCATAACATCTTTAATACAAAACAAAACATCTAATAATTCCTGTAGCTTCAAGTTTTATTTCCAAAAAATAAAATTAAATAATATATCTATATATAAAAGACAGTTTTTCCTTGTTTTTTTCTTATAAAATAAGTCTCAAGATATATTGCCACCTGGTTCGGATGCGTCCCCTCCCCATACCCAGCAAGCCCAACCTTTTGAAAAATAGTCTTCAGTCCTCTCCATAAAAAGCTAAATAACCAAATTTAAACTCTTCAGATCACACCTCTAATCAACCCCTGCCTCGGCTCTACTTCATGCAGGTTTCACATCTAAACTTTAAGATTGTTCAGGTGTGTGACTTGTTGCAATAGCCCCTCCCTCCCTAAAACCTTGTCAAAAATACACAGAAAAAGGCGCATTGGTGCTTGTGACCTACTACACCCCATACTGTACCTTTTAGAAAAAATCTCAATACTGTACAGTAGCTCAGGAGTATTTTACAGATACAGCAAATATCCAATCAAACAAGAGGGGAAACAAGCAGGAGAAAATAATTTCTCTGCTCATAACGTTTTAAAGTATGTACAGTTTTCTTTTTTTTGCTTTTTTTACATCTTTCACTTTTATTACAAACAGTATTGAAGTCCACCATTTCTTACTTTGTACAGTACTAACATTGAATTATATCTTGTGGCTGAGAGGCAGTCATGACGATGAGAAAAAAAGTGGAATAAGAGAAAAGGACTACCAAAAGGGAAACCGTTGAGTATACAGGCAGGACTTTCTTAAACTTCTGCAGCCTCCCCAAAAAACTAAAAAACAAGACAGCTTCATTAACCTCTTCTCCACATCACAGTTCATAAACAAGGTTGTAATATATGTACAGGCACAACCTTTCAACATCAGCCAGCTTGAAATAGGAGCACAGTACGCCTCTGACCGCTGGACGATCGGACATCAACAGTTCATCCCGCCATTTCTTGTACGGGTTGGGGTTTCAGGGTAA